CGCGAACCTGATGTCCCAACTCATGGTGTTCCAACGTTTTTTTTCCGGGAGTTCTCCGTTCGGTTTAGGCTCCAGGGGGTGAAGCCCCCCGCACAATTTCTAGGGGCTTCCGCTAAGTTCCAGGACCCCACAACCATTGACAATCATATTCTTGACCCCCCTTAGAAGCTTCAGACAAAATACGGCCAAGACGCTGAGACAAGGAACAGTTTGGATTCGGAAGCGGCTCGATGCTCCCTCCGTCCTTCCGTGGTTGTTCCTCTAGCCCTTGTCGTGCACCCACGCTTTTTTGAAGCCGCAGAGGGGCTCCGTTCCTTATTTATTCGCTTCGCTCATTCCGCCGGCCCTGGAGCGCTGTTTGGGGCCTCTGGCGGCCGTCTTGGGGGCTTCTTGGGGGCTTCTTGGGAGCGTCTTGGGGCTCCTCTGCAGCGTATTGGGCTCCCCTGGGGCCTCTTGGGGGGCTCTTGGGGGCCCACAGAGGGGCTTCGTTCCTTATTTAGTGCTCCTTCTTTTAGCAGCCCGACTGTAGCCCAACTCGGGGGTTGCTCGGGTGACTTTCGGAGGTTCTCCGGCCAGTCCAGGCCCCAGGGGGGGACACTTCTCGACAAGCACTCCAGCTCGGGTGCTCTTCGGGTGGTTCGCGGGGGGGGGGGCACATTTAGAAATAAGATTATTTCTGCGAATTCCCCCAGATCCCCCGCCAATTAAAAGCCCAGCTCGGGTTTTTGTTAGGAAAGGGTCTGCAGCGGTTCTCCCGCCAGCCCAGGCTCCAGGGTGGAAGTAGCATAGCGAAGCCACAACTCTGGCTGTTTTTTTTCTGATCGTTTTCGAGGGGCCCGGGGCCCGACAATTAATAGCAGTGCCCAGGCTCCAGGAGGGAAAACACCTGAGAAACTTTCAAACTCGGAGGTTTTTTTTCAGCAGTTTTCGGGGGCTCCAGGACCCCACAATTAGACACACAATTAATTTTGAACTCCCCCCGAAAACCCCCGATGTTTCAATAGCTTTTCGGGCGTTCTCTGGCCAGCCCAGGCTCCATAGGGGGGAAAGCCCCCGGGGGATTGTTCGAGGGGCTCAGGGGCCCCCGCTTCAGAACAATACTATTTCTGAATGCGCCCTGAATAAAAACCCGAACAGCTCCCCAGCTTCAAGGTTTTTCGAACGTTCTCTGGCCAGCCCAGGCTCCATGGGGGAAACCCTTCGAAGAAAATGATAGCTCTACGTTTCTCTGGTTTCTTTTTCGGGTGGCTGCGGGCCACATACTTACAAGCAAGGTTGTGTTTGAAAATCCAATCGAAAACCACCGAACAAAAAATCAGTTTTGTTTTTTCAATGTTGTTCGGGGGGTCTGGGGGCGCACAATTTGAAATTATTATATGCCTGATCCCTCCCGCAAAACCTTCAAACAAAATCCCAATCTTGGTTTTCTTTTCTGCGTTTCTGGGTGGGTTCTCCTCACCGGCCAGCCCAGGCTCCAGGGGGGAAACGCAACAACGTCTAAGTCGTTGTTGTTGTTCCTGCTGTTTTTTGCAGGGGCCCAGGGCCCCACACTCAAAAACAACTTTCTGTACGTTCCTCAAGTCCCCTTCGGAAGAAACAAGGTACTGTTTCTTGTGTTTTTTTCGGGGGTTCTCCGACCAGCCCGGGCGCCCGTGGGAAAAAAAAAACCCTCAAACAAACTCAGCCCGTACTTTTTGGGTGGCCGCCGCCCGCCGCCCCCCCGCCGCCCGCCCCCCCCCCGCCCGCCCGTTCGCCGTGCTCCCCCGCGCCCATCACAAACACCCAGGTGCTCCACGGCGTCCGTCGCCAGCGCAGCACCCGGTGCACTCCACGGCTCTCCCGGTGCTCGACAGCACAGCACCCGGTGCTCGCCAGCACCCCGCCGCAGGAGGGATCCCTCAGGAGGCCTCTGCAGATGCCGATCCGCCCGCCCGCCGGCCGCCCGCCCGCCGCCTTCCCGCCGCTCGCCCCCGGCGCCCGCCCGCCGTGCTTCCGCGTTCGACACAGCACCCAGTGCTCAACAGCATCCGTGTCCGAAACAACGCCCAACGTGCGTCTCCAACACCGCATCTCAACAGCCTCCGCTTCCATCAAACCACGCAATGTTTAGCCGCATCACGCTGCAAGAGAGCATCCCTGCGAGTCCAGTTCAAATTCCGATCCGCCCGCCCGCCGCTGGCCCGCCGCCCGCCCGCCGTGCTTCCGTGTTCAACACAACGCCTGGTCTTCATCAGCATCCGTCTCCAACACAATTTCCAGTACTCAACAGCCTCCGTCTTCACCACAAAACCGAGTACTCAACAGCATCCCGCTGCACGAGAGAACCCTTAGGAGGTGCATGAAAATCGGGATCTGCGCGCCGGCCGCCCGCAGCTGGCCCGCCCGCCCGCCGTTTGGTCCCCGCCGCCCGCCCGCCGTCGTTCCGCGTTCAACACAGCAGCCAGTATTCAACAGCGTTCGTCTCGAAATAGTTTTGTTTTTAATTGTGGGCCCCGGACCCCCCTGAACAAAAATCTGAACAACCTTTGGGTTGCAGGGTTCTTCTGAGGTTCCCCCCCTGGAGCCTGGGCTGGCCGGAGAGTCCCCGAACAATCATCAGAACACCCCACGAGTTGTTTTTTTTTGGGGGGGGGGGGTAGACGGGGGTAAAAATTAAAAATTGTGTTGTATGAAATTGTGGAGGTCCAGAGTCTCCTGCAAATTCCAGAAGAGCCTGGGCTGGCCGGAGAACCCCCCTCGGAAAAAAAGAAGAGTTGGGTTGATTTGTTCTGAAGTTTTTCGTAGGGTATTTCGGGGGGGGGGTCAGAAATCGTATTGTTTTCCATTCTTGGGCCATGGAGCTCCCTAAAAACTTCCGAGCACAAATTCGCCCTCCCCCTATGTCTTGGGTTTCTCGTGGGTTTTCAGATGCTTCTGTGCGCCCCTCAATGAAAAGCAATTCTATTTCTGCAAAAGCCCCCAACCTTTCCCGAAAACCCCTCAGGGGAAACAGAAAAAACAAAACAACACTCTGTGATTATTTGTATTATTTCATGAGGTTTTCCGGCCATGGGGAAGACCGCCAAACAAAACGTATTATTATGTTGTTTCTGAGGTTTCTCGGTGGGTTGTTCTGGGGATTTTTGGGAGGATCAAATAGTTTTGTCTGTAATGGTGCGACCTTGGAAGCCTTCGAACTGTCGCCGAGAAACCCCTGAGTTGGGTGGCTCTTCGGGTTTTTTTGTCAGGAAGGTGTTGGGAAGGTTTCAGAAATAATGTTTACTTCTGGGGGCCCAGACCCCCCCGAAAAAACACAAAACGATCCTCCGAGCGATGTTTTAAGTTGTTCGAAGGTTTTTGAAGGGTTTTCAAACATATTATTTTGTTTAAATGTGGGACCCTACAACCCCTCCCCTCCGAACAACTTCAAATTTGGAAGTTGTTTCGTGGGGGTGTTGGATGTTGTTTTTTTTGGGGGGGAGAGTTCGGAAATAGTCTTGTTTTGAATTGTGGGGACCGGGATCCCCCTTGAGAATATCAAGACACATGTTAGATTCTTTGTTTTTTGTTTGTTCTTGTGTTTTCTGGGGGATTGTCGAAAGGGGTTTCCAGACATAGTCTCGTTCGGAAGTCTTGGACCCCGATCCCACTTGAAAATCTGTTGAGACTGCCTGAAGTTGTGTGTGTGTGTGTGTGTGTGTTTTGGTTTCTTGTTTGAGGGGGGTCAAGATCAGTTTTTTTTTTGTTTGTGTGTGTGTGGTTGTGTGTGTGTGTGTGTGTGTGTGGCCCCAGACTTCCCCCAAAGAACATAAATGAACAACACCGGAGTTGAGAGGTTTATCTGTTGTTTTTTCTGGTGATTTGTTCTGGTTTTTCAGACACAGTACGGTTTTTGATTATGGTGCCCAGAGCCCGTCGTTCGAAAACCCCGTTGAAAAAAAACACTGATTTGGGTTTCGTTTCAAAGGTTTGTCTGAGTTGTACGAGGGTTTTCAGGAATAGTAGTGTTTTTTTTGTATTGTGGGGCCTCGAAAGCCATTCCCCGAACAAAAAGAGGTTGAGGTGTTTGTTGTTGGGTTTTTTGGGGGGCTCAGAAGTAGTATTGTTTTCAAATGTGGGCCCAGAGCAACTTCGAAAAATAGGTTATGAACTTTCAGCGAACAGAACAACTAGTTTTTGTTCAAATGTGTTTCGTGTTCTGTTTTTTCGAGGGGGGGATCAGAAATACTATTGTTTAATTGTGGGGGCCCAGAACGTCCAGAACACATCAAGAAGAGCAAACAAAAACCAAAAAGCAGACGAATTGGGTTTTTGGTTCGGGGTTCCCCCCTGGAGAATCTTTTTGAATAGCGCAATAAAAAGTTTAAGAAAACCCACTCAAGAAAACCAAGTATTACCTCGCAATGGCAGATTCTTGAGGGGGGATTCTTCGAATGGCAAATGTGGAGGGTTTTCCCCGTCGCTCCAGGGAATACCCAGAATAAAAAACAAGCACCAAACAAATACAATGGAAGGTGTTTCTGAAGTTTTTCAGTTTTTTTGTTGGGGTGGGCCGGTTGGTTTCTATTCGGAGGGGGTTCAGAAAATAGTTGTTTTAAAAGTGTGGGCTCCCAGGAACCCTCCCCAAACCCCTCAAGCCACCCCCCTTCCGCGGGATCTGGGGGGGGGAACCAGTTGTTCTGGGTTTTTTGTCGGTGCGCTCCCGGGGGGATTCCAGGGACCCCCCGCACCAGTGTCGAACATATTGTCATTTGTACCCTAGGAGGGGTCGGGGGATCGATTTTGAGCTGCCTTTGTCTCAAATCGCTCCGCTCCGAATGAGGAGGTGGGGTACATCTATATCATGGCCAGGGCCATGGAACCTCCCAGATTTCATGGCCTTCTCGTTTTCTTCTTCTCAATATTATTATTATTACTCTTCTTCTTCCACCCCCCCGCCTCGTCCGCGCACGTGCCTTGGGCCATGAGACTGGCCCCCCTCTTCCTGCCCTCCACCCTCTTGGGCGCACCCGATCGTCGAGTGCTTTTCGCTTCCCGCCTCCCCGCTCATGCTGTCGAGCGGCTACCTGTTCGGGCTGGCGGGCGGGGCCGGCCTGGCGCTGGCGTCGCTGTGCACCGCGGCGACCATCTCCTTTTTCTTAGCTCGGACCGTGTTCAGGCCGCAGCTTATGAAGATGGCCTCGGAGAACGCCACCTTCCGGGACATAGACTGTGCCGTGCAGGAAGTCGGGGGAGGGAGAGGTACTGGCACCGCTACCCTTCTCTCAGTTACATCCCTTTTCTTGGACCTCCAAGGAGGTCCTGGCGGCCACGGCTGGATTCGCTTCGACATTCTGGTCATAAAGCAGCACGGAGAAGGTCCTGGGAGTAAGTAGCGGATGGATATCTTTACGTTTCCACAGGAAGAGGGGTTCAAAATCATATTCTTGCTGCGGTTGGCGCCGCTGCTGCCGTTTGCGCTGTCCAATTACGCCTACGGGTTGACGCAGGTGAGCTACAGGGATTTCATCCTTGCCACGATGTTTGGCTGCGCTCCAGGCACCATAGCGGTCGTGTACCTGGCTACAGCGGCCAAGTCGGCTGGGGAAGGGGGAGGCCAGCCCTGGTATGTGTATGCTGGCAGCATTGCCGCCACGGTGGCCCTTCTGAAGGTGGTGACGGACGTGGCGCAGGATGCGGTCAAGAAGTCCGTCGAGAAAGGGCGCGCCGGCTGCATTGTCGAAAAGCAGTGAGTCGGTATTTTTGAGGGGATGTAAGTCCTGGGAGGGTGAATTAAGCATCGGTGCTGGTATACTCGCAGTCGAGAATGAGCCTAACCTGTCATAATCGCGGTTCATCTGGCTAATCCCGCGGGCTGCATCCGGCCAGTGCCGGCTTCATCTTGGGCTTGACCTGGCGCAATTTGGCTCAATGGGCTTCTGATCGGGCTTCAAACCCCTCATCGTTAGAACGAAACCTTCCCAGGAGTTGCCTCCCGGCCCTCCTCCTCGCCCTTCTTCTGTTCCTCCTCGCCCTCCTCATCCTTACGTTCTTTTTCGCACCGCCAGTGTGCCAGGCGCAGGCGGAGTGAGCCGGCGGGCACCGAGGCGGGCCAGCGGGAGACATTAAGGGTGTATTTGGGCTGCCTCCCTTCCCTGGCGTTGCCCAGGCTGGGGCTGCTTTGAGTGCCACTTCCTCCCGTGCATGGTGGGACGTTCGGGGGAGCACGCGTTTTTTTTTTGAGCGCATCAGGTGTTGATCCAGAACAACCAGAGTCTAGAACGGTTCTTGCCCACTGCGGTCGCGCCACAGGCCGAGCACGTTCTGGTCCCCCGGTTTTCGGGAGTGCCGTGGGGTGTTTCGTTCGAGATGTGTTCACAGGATCACTTTGAGGTGCGCCTCAGGATCCAGAGAGCATGGTCTGCACACATTCGCCCCCAGCATTCCGCAAAGCACAGTGACTGGTTTGAACGGCATAGGGGTGGTCGGGCACCTGCTCAGACTGCGCCACTGGACCTCCTGACCTCACGCCTTGGCACCGCGGAGCACGGCCCGGAAGCCTCCTGGCCGTCCCGCACAGGCCCAGCACAGCACACAGCTCTGCAGCACACAGCTCTGGCCGCGCGCCGAGCCAGTGGTGCCGAGCTCTGCCTCTCCGGCCTGCGCGCGGACGCCCCACGAGCACCATCCCAGACAGGCGACGTCCTGATTGTCTCGGGGCGGCGTCCCATGGAAGTCCCGACCTCTGCCCAGGGACCGGGGGTGCTTCGTCCTGAGTCGTGTTCTGACGGTCCCGAGGCCCGGCGAGGGCCCCCCGGGGCCGAGAGTAGCCCAAAACCTCGCGTCCTGACTTCTTGTACGACGTGATCATGTCTGGGATCGGGAAGCATTCTGACCTCCAGGCCTTCAGCAAAACATCACAGTCAATGCGCCGGAGGTCAGTATCGTTTAACTATCCGATCACCATCCCCATCCCCATCCCAATCCCCTTTGAGACCCCCACCAAATTGCCACCCCAGTTGGGGATACACCCTTCAAAACCGGCAGGGAACGGCCTATATCCCCATCTGGGGGGGTAAATCGGCCAGTGGGGCCCAGGCCACGCCGCTGGGGACTCGGCATCGCTCGGACGTGTGCGTTTTTTCCTCGGCGAGGACCATCGAGGAGCATTCTTGATCACTTGGCGAAGAAACCACGCGCGAAACCGATTAAAAAACACGGGGAATGGACGTCCGAGCGATGATGGCCAGGGGATGGGGGCCGGGTACAAACGATCCCCAGAGGGAAGGCTCGCCCCGGGCTGCGGAAGGGGCTCCGCTTCTCGGGCCGCTCCTCTGGGGATCCGGGCCGTGGGGCCCGCTCGTGGCCGAGGCCCGCCGTGCCGGGGAGGGCCCCCCGGTTCCTTCCATCTATTCGGCGTGCCTTTTGGTAGCACGATGGCTCCTCCCTCCGCCTCCTCGTCGTCCCTCCTCCTCGTCCTCCTCCTCCTCCTCTCCTTCGTTCTCCTCCTCCTCCTCCTCTTCCTCCTCCTCGAGCCTCCTCATCCTCCGTCTCGTCTCCATATCCTCCTCCTATTTTTTCTCCTCTTCATCCTCCTCCTCCTCCTACCCCTCCTCCTCCTCCTCCTCCTCCTCCTCCTCCTTCTCGTCGTCGTCCTCCTCCTGCTCCTCCTCCTCCTCGTCCTCGTCGTCGTCGTCCTCCTCCTCCTCCTGCTCCTCCTCATCGTCCTCCTCGTTGTCGTCTTCCTCCTCCTCCTCCTCCTCCTCCTCCTCCTCCTCCTCGTCCATCCCCTCTCTCCTCCCCGAAAGCGCTGGAGTCCTCGCCCCCCCCCCCCCCCCCTACAGTGGAGGCCCATGCCAAGAAACACCCTGGTCGCCTCCAGGGTGCCCTGGGTTTCTTGGGTTTCGATGGTTTTGTAACGGTGAGAGCGCAACGTTCCCACAACAAAAATCAGTGCACGTTCTGGGGTCTCAGGGTTGTGGAGTGGCCTCCACTGTATGTTCAGCGTTCCTTTTGATAGCACGCTGGCTGTGCACACTTGTCGGGCAGGGCGAGGATAAATCCGTTCGAGAGCGCTCCGGAACGCCCTCAGAGCGTACAGGAACGCTCTGAGAAGGCCGCGGCGCCCGAGCCATCCTCCAGAACCGCTGGGCCTCAGAGATTCTCGATTTACAGTCAACCCGCATAGTAGGGATGGGCAACCTTCCCAAGGGTACTCTTGCATCCTTGCCTCCTCGGTCCATCCTTGGCCATTCTCGTTGGCCGCGCCCCGCTCGAAGAGTCTTCCAAGGCCCTTGCATGCTCACCGCGCATCCCTATTATACGGGCTGACTGTATCCTCCGCCGAACCCATCCCCTTTCTGGCTTCGTCTTACCTTGGTGCGTCGGCCTTGGCCAGGCACGACCCCGGGGCACGCCCGGGCCACGGCGCGCCTGCCGCCTCGGCGAGGGGCTCAAACAGAGGATCTCAGAGATGTTCCATTCATCTCGGCCACGCGCAGAGAGGGGCACTTTCAGGGGGGAAAGCTTCTTAGAAGCACCCCTGCTCGGAAGGCGTGGGCCTTCTCGCCAGATCCAAGGCCGGCGCCTTCTAAGAAGCGGCCCCCTCCCAAGAAGCCTCTTCCCCCCTCTCTCCCCCTCCCCCCACACTGCGCGCCGCCTCTTGTCCTCGCCCGAACTCGTCCTCGTCCTCGCCTCGCCTTGACCTGGTGCGCCGGCCTTGGCCAGGCGCGGCTTGGAGGGCACGCCCCGGCCACGGCACGCCCGCCGCCCCAGCGAGAGGCTCAGACAGAGGCCCGGGCCCCCCTCGGCGCCTCGCGCCCGGCCCGCCCGCTCTGTCGCCGCGCGCCCGGGCACCTTCTCTCTGCCTCCCGCCCTCTGCCCTACCGGGGGGCCCCGGGGGTGACCTCGGCATCCTCAGCGTTCTCCTCTTCCTCCTCCTCCTCCTCCTCCTCCCCATCCTCCTCCTCCTCCTCCTCCTCCTCCTCCTCCTCCTCCTCCTCCTCCTCCTCCTCCTCCTCCATCCTCCTCCTTCCTCTCCTCCTCCCCATCCTCCTCCTCCTCCTCCTCCTCCTTCCTCCCTCCTCCTCCTCCTCCTCCTCCTCCTCCTCCTCCTCCTCCTCCTCCTCCTCCTCCTCCTCCATCCTCCTCCTCCTTCTCCTCCTCCCCATCCTCCTCCTCCTCCTCCTCCTTCTCCTCCTCCTTCCCATCCTCCTCCTGGTTCTGGTTCTGGTTGACGCGCACCCAAGTGGGGCGCGTTGGTGCCGAAGCCCCGGGCAAAGGGCAGGCATGAGCAGTCCCGAGTAGGGCGCTGGCAGCGGGGCAAGTGCCCGGCGCGCGTGCCCGCTCCCAGGGGGGCCGGGTGTCGCTTCATGCGAGACAGTTGTAGGGGCCCCCATGGGAGCCGCGCCTGCCACGCCACCAAATGGCGGAGCGCCAGTGCGCGAGCGCGAGTGCGCGTGCAGCCAACTCCTCCTACTCCAGCGCCACCAAATGGCGAGCGCCTCCTCCTCCTCCTGCTCCTCCTCCTCCTCCTCCTCCTGTCCCCTCGAACTCGAACCTCGTGCCCCACCTGGGAACGCGCCGGCCACAGCTTCGGAGCGAGCCTAATTAGCCGCGGTGGCGCAGCGTCCCAGCGGCACGCACGAGGGGGTAGGGGGAGGGGTGGGGAAGGCTTCGTAGGAGGAGGCTGCTTCTTGGGAGGCGTTGGCCCTACATCTGGGCTCAAGTCGGGCGTGTCCCTCTACAGGAGGAATAGTCAAACATTGTCAAAACATAGTCTGGGACGATTTTCCGATTATGTTTGATTGCTTTTTGTTATTTTTGAGTGTGTTTTAATGTTCGCCCAGAATCCGCCTGTAGGAGGATTTACCCGACCTAGCCCTACATCTAGGCCTCCCAGATGGGGTCAGAGTGGATAGGGTCGGAGGATCGCGCCGTATCGTCCATGCAAGTCGATGCATCGGCAACGCGGCTCGATGTGGACCCCGATGTTCTCCACGCTGGAGTCGCCGATGCATCGCCGATGCATAGCCGATGCATTGGCGATACATCGCCGATGTACTGGCGATTCGGCGCGATCCTCCGACCCCATCTACTCGGACCCCATCTAGGAGGCCTCTACTACAGCTGCAGTGCAGACAGGGCTCGCGCCCTGAGAACCCCCACCCCTTTCCCCTACCACCCTCTGCGCATGGCCGACATTCCTCCCCTTCGAAGGAGCGACCCTTGGTGCGGGCCACTTTGCCCCCCCCTCCCCCCCCCTCGCCGAACGCGATGCGGCAACAGCGTCTTGCGCAAGCGTGTGCTTGGCCCCCCCGCGGCCCCCACGAAGCCGCGCACCAAAGGCCCCGTCTCGCCTAGGGTCACTCTTGCGTGTAGCCGACCTGGTGGGCTTGTTTTCCACCGCCACCGCCGGGAGTAAGAGGGGGAGGGGGTCCTCCTCCTCCTCCTCCTCCTCCTCCTCCTCCTCCTCCTCTCCTCCTCCTTTTCCTCCTCCTCCTCCTCCTCCTCCTCCTCCTCCTCCTCCTCCCCTTCGTCCTCCTCCTCCTCCTCCTCCTCCTGCACCTCCTCCCCCCCTCCAACTTCTGCTGGCCCTGGACAACGAGCCCGGCGCGACTCGCTCCTCGCTCCGCCGCCGCACGGTCTTCGGGGGGGGGCCTCGGCGCCCCCCGCCGCCCGAGGCGCCCTCGGAGAGCACGGCGCCCGAGTGTCCCAGGGGGCCGCGCGGCGGCCCCCCCTTGAGGCCCCCCCCGGGGACTCGCCGCGCGGCGCGGTCGCCACACCGCTTGGGGGGGGGGGCTCTCGGCTCCCTGCGGGGCCCGGGGGCGGCCAGAACCAGGGGCGAGGCTAGGGGGGGGGGGGATAGGCATATAGGGGGGGGGGCGCATCGACCCCCAGTCGCCCGCCGGTCGCCGATGGGGGCCCGTCGGCCCCGTCCCGCCCAGGAAGGGGCGGATTCAGGATCGGAGGCCTATCGTCGATCTATCGGCGATGTATCGCCGATTCCAGGTCGATGCATCCCACCCTATGCCAGCCCCCCCCCCTATCGTTGCCCCTCACAAGGGAGGGTTGATGGTTGCCCATCGTTCGTTGAAAGTAGGTATTCTGGGATTCCAGATTCCAATCTACTTTCAGCGCCTTCCTACTTCAATGATCGAGTGGCTTCCCCTTTTCCGTCCTTTTCAGCGGGCGGACGGAAGCCCAATCTACGTTTAACGCCTACTTAATGTTTCTACCTACTTCTTCCGACCGATGGGCAGGGTGTGTGTGTGGATCAGATGTAT